CATCTCAGTATCATAGGCGCAATATTGGACCAGCAACAGATAGGTGACTGTCACTGGTTTAGTGTTCAGTGTGCCATTCTGTGATCGATTCAGGGTACTGGAGAATGAAAATGTCTCTGCGTTCCTAATGCTGTGCATACGTTTTTAGGTGATGGACATTCCTGGACTCGGCTTTGGTACCGGCGAGTACTTCCCTTACGTGTACTTCAAGATCAATATTGACATGGTGGAAAAAACAAATTAGGCTTCGGCACATCGGAGCTTAGCAGGTGTATGATACGGTGTGATGTGATGTATATACGTGCGAGAGCGCGGTAATCGGAGACACAAATGTAATCGGCGTGTGGAATGATTCCTGGCAATGGGTGTAAGACGTGGCCATCGGCATGCCATAAGCGACAGTAACTATCGTGAATATCTCCAGAATTGTCTAGCATCTGACGCGGCAGGTATTTAGCCGCATTTCTCGGTTCTATAGCTACATTCCAGATTGGTGCTCCCTGTGAAGCCAACTCGGGCTGCTGCCGACGAGGCCGACGCGCGTGCGACAGCCGCGGCGGGGGTCGGCGCGCCGCCGCCCGCCAGCGGCTGCCTCGCAGGTGGCGCCGTGATCGTCGCGCTGATGCTGGGGGAGGGCGGCGGGCGCGGGAGCGGGGCTGCCGCAGCCGTTGTGAGATGCCGCTGTTGTGTAGTGGCGCGGATGTGGGTCGCAGACTACCGGTAGTGCGTCGTCGGTGATTGTGTGTATCCAACTACGCGAAATAAAATGTGCAATGTATGTTCCGACGCGTATTTCGGAATGCCATGAGGACAAGGGGCCGAAAATGTTACCGACGCAGAACCGGATTCGCGTCTGGTTCTGCTTCAGCGGATTTGACTCCGACTCTGGCTCACATGGCATGACGCCTATTTGGACGACTATTGTATGATGCTTATACTTATTTATTCGACGCTTATTGGACGCTTATATCACGGAGGAGCTCAGCGCAACATGGTGCGACTCCAACTGTGGGTGGGCGATGCACGCTCAATTCTGAATTGGATTCCACTGGACTCTGCTGGTGGCAACAGCTTAGGGGAAAAAACCTTCTCCGCGGGCTTCGTGAAAGCCTACATGACATCGAGGCATACGTCCAGCTACATTTTGATGTAATTTGGATGGTACACGTATGGAGAAGCCTGCAGATATGTCCTGCTGCATTTTTATTTGAGTCTCACTGATACTCCGTTGCGTCGACTCCTGTTCCAACAGCAAAGCAGCAAAACATTGCAAGAATTTGGTCTGTTCCGATCCGAACAAGTGGCTAATTGAATTGATGTTTTTCATTCTTCAATAACATCGTTGGCAATCCAATATCCGTTCTGCTCAGGTATGAAGACCGCCGATGCTTGTGAGGCTGCGCCTCGGACAGTGGATGTGATCTGGTCTTCATCCCGTGCTGATGCACGATGGCTAACCGGAGCTAAAAAACTGCTGTATCCGAGCGAGCTATAAAGCGATGATGTCCGCCTCGGTTCACATTCAGGGACCGGCGTTGTCAGGCGCCGCGGCCGGCAGTGTGTGATCCGCGAGGAAATCGCGAGAGCTCGTATGACGTCCCCGAGCCGGGGCTGAGGCGTGCCTGCGGGCGGCTGGCTGAACCTCTGACAACTTACCGGCTCGCCGCTCGATGTAATGAACGCCGTGGGTTCAGCAGACCACCGCTGTGGACTCATCAGGCTACCGTTATGGGTTCGTCAGGCCGCCGCCGTGGGTTCGTCAGGCCATCGCTGTGGGTTTATCAGGCAGTGGGTTCAGCAGGCCACTGTGACCGGTGGTCAGGTGAGGAGGAGTCTGCAGCGGCTGTCGGTTGCACCAGCTCGGGCAGCGCTGCACCTCTTCACGGCACCGTGAACGGATCTGTCGATCAGATTTGGGTCATCTTCAATAAGTCTGACCCGGCCCGACAAACGGCGCCAGGTCAGGTCACGCGTTGGTCCGACATACCTGTTACAGGGATGCTCAACTGTCGCATTGCCCAGCGTCACGTCGCGTCACTCAGCGTCAGCGTCAACGTCACTCAGCGTCGCAAGCATTGCCCAGCGTCACGGACGAACCCATCGAGTCGACACTGAGCTGTCGCGTAATGCACGGGCACGGGCGTGCAGCCACAGCTCTGGCAGGAGTAGGGGGGACACAGGGTAGACAAAGGATCCCTGCTAGTGAAAGGCCCCAAAAAGAAATCGCCGGATATGCCCAACTTTTGGTGAGGGCATACGTTTTTTAACATTGTCTTTAATTTGCCTTCCATAACTGAAATAGAAGTATGAAATTACCGCGAGACAAATTCTGTCTGAATTTTATGGTTAATAAAGCGAAGGAATCATACGTTAAGCAATTGCATGAAATAAATCGCCGGCGCTCTACGTTTCAAATAATCTAGTGGACCCTTTCTTAACAGATAGAACTCAGAAGCTTTGTCTAAATTTGTATCTGATTACTATAGAGATATTAGGGACCCCGCGAATGTAGGTTGTAGGCATGTCGAAATTGATGAACAATTTGCATTAACATGGATAAACTATATTTTGTTCTGGAAATGATCAAAATTCAGTCAGAATAGATTATTGATGCCTTATGTAACGCAGTTTTGAACATGCGCGCTTGCAAATCTCACTAACAAAACCTCGACTCCAAGCGTCGCGGTCTCCATTGAGCGCGCGCCGTCGGCCCTCCGGCTTACACTGAGCCGTGGCCAACGGGCGCACAAAATTATGACGCATCTTAAAGGAGTATCTTTGAAAACTCTGGGATATCAAATGGTACGTTTAAAAAGTAGCCCGGGCGTATATTTCACTGACGCGATTTTTACGCAAGCTGTTCAGCGCACTTGCAAGAAGCATTATTCACGTAGATAGATAATACAGTAGCAATAGCCTTATCCCTCGGAAAAAAAAAACAGGAGAATCGAGATATAGATGGGTTGATATTTCGGCAACATGCTTTTATCGAAACAATGACAAAAGAAGGAGTTCAGAACCGTTCAGGAGCCGACTGTTCGGTGTTTCTGGTCTCTGGCCCAAATAAAGCAACGCTCTGTCTCTATGGTCCCGCGTCAGGAAGTGGACCAACGTGATGTGGTGTATCCCTCCCTTCCCACCAGGGCGAGGAGCTGGCGACCCCATATATAGCCCCAGTAGCTGAGTGCATCATAAAGCCCCGATGACACGGCCATAATCTAGGGGGGCAAAGATAGCGGTGGCTTTGGTTGCAGTTTTCGTGAAATCGAACGGCGTTGGCCACTGCAAGTAACGCCAGGGGGGCGAGCGCCGAGCGCGCAACGATGACCATCGTAAAGTGATGTCTCTAAATATATGTCAAGATCAATTCGCACGGTTCAAAAATTACACTATACATATGGGATACTATATGGAAGATTTCTTTTAGAACTTTGAGGTTGTGTTCTGGACACATAACCAGTTACAGCAGCATGAGAAAAATAGATTTTATCCTTGCTCTTTCAGTTCCACCAGATTTCAGTACCCCTTCGCCGTGCTGTGAAGATCAGTGCGTTATTGTCATCGATCTAAAAACCACACAGGTGAAAGGCACATCCGGAATGTTTCTAAATGTACGATGTGGTTTCTTGGAGTGTTCAGAGGTACCTCGTTCAGATGCGTCGCCATTTTCGTCCACCTGCTGAGCGCGGCCTAATATTAGCCTCGGGCGGACACTAGACGCCAGGCCTGTGGGGACTGCAACGCCTGACATGGAGTTTTTTGTTGCTAAGATATGCGAGTTCGCATGCTCAAAACTATGTTACATAATTTGCACCATTACTGGATTCTGACTGAATCCTGAATATATCCAGACGAACATGGTCAGGCCATGTTAATACAAATGGTCGACCCATTTCGAATTCAAACGACATTCGCGGAATCCTTTTTATCCCTGTACAGCCCGGATACAATTTTTACAAGGTTTCTAAGTTTTATCGGTATAAAAAGAGTCCATATATATATATATATATATATATATATATATATATATATATATATATTAAAGCTAAGGAAAAACATGTCCTCAATCATTAATGGGCCATATCCAGCGATTTTTTGGGCGGCTTTTTAATATCAGAGGTCCTTTGTCAACCCCGTGCCCCCCCCCCCTCCCTTGCCAAGGCTCTGGCTGCGCCCCTGAGTTCTGCTCAAGGGATGACTCAATATGTATGCAATGAAGTGTTACAGTATAGAAAAACCCATAGTTCCATGACAGTCAACCAGTTCAGAGAAAGATGTACGACCTGAAAGTTCGATCGTTTCGGGAGCAGAGCTCCACCCGAGCCCCTGCGGGGCATGACCCCGAGACGATGCCGAGTGCAGTTGGATTCCTATTAGAGCCGGGGATTCGGCGTATTTGGTATTCAAATCCCAGGGGATATGAAGTCGGGTACATGCTTCTCGGATAAGTGTAATCGTATAGATGTGACTGCATCGAAATATTGACCACACACGCTATGCCACAAAGGACAAAGGACGACGGGGGGGGAGGGGGGGGGGAGGAGGCAATGGTATGCGTGGCGAACTGGTAAAACATGCACATCTTAATCAAGCTCGAAAAGGAAATATCCTCTTTGAAAATGAGTGAGCACATGCGCGAGCTCATCAAATAAAATGATAGGCACGCTGACAATAACAACTCGTCAATCAGACGGCATACACAGAACAACATCCATTTTTAAAGTGATACGTACCCAAAACATACACCCGAGTCGGCATGGCGCCGGCTCTTCCAATCCGGAGGTTGGTGCTCCTTTCTCCTCCTCCCTCCCCTCCTCGTCCTCCGCAGGGTGCCCATTCGTTTGGCCGGGACGGCCGCTGCTCCTCGCTCTTCCTCTCTCCCCTCCTCATCCTGCGTCGGTTCACGCGCGCGTCCGGGGCCGGCGGCGCCGCGTGACGCACCGCCTGCTGGCGCGCCTCGACCCGGCCGCGGCCGTGTCCGTGTGAGCCGGGCCGAGCCCAGGAGGCGGCGGCGGGCGCTCAGTACCCGCCCGGGCGCCGACCAGCAACGTACGCGCTGCGTGAGTGGGGTTTCCGGAGCCTGCGCGGCTCGTGAGTGGCGGCGGCGGTGACGCGCCGGGCGCTAGGGTCGGCGCGGGCTGAACCGGTCGCTGAAGCCCGTGGTGCAGCCGGACCAGCCACCGGAGCTAGCGGCGCAGTCGGACCAGCGGACTGGCTGGGCTGAGCCGCTGTGCTGCCTGCGGAGCGGAATCGCTGTGCGGACGCTAGTGAGGCTTCGACGCCATCCGTCCCGCGGGTCAAGGCCAGGCGCGCTGCGTGTGTCTGCCTGCCGGGGGTGGAGTGTTCGGAGCTCGGCCGAACGGACGGCACTGAAGACAAACGAAACCGAGCTCCGGCCTGTGTGCGGTTGGACCGCCAGTTACCGGACACGTAACGGCGTCAAGTGCTGTTTGTTTGCTCGACTTTGGAAAACATGACAGGTGAGGTGTGAACTAGCACAGCTGGAGTGTAACTTCCGCTGTAATATGACACCAGTAGCACCATTGCACGTTGTGCCCTTGATTGCTTCGGAAGGATAGCATGCGTACACGCAAGCATCTCACGCAAATTATTTCATTGTGTTAAAAAACAAAACAATCGTTCGCTGCACGCCCGGGTGCGCGCCCTGGTGCGTGTATAGCAGACGGTCAGACCATGCTTCACGGCTGCAAGTCCACGCAATGATGGCTCGCCCACAGTCCGAACGGTCCGACAAATTCAAGCTGGCAGCACCAGCCGACATATCCGCACGGAGGTCTGCAATGCACTCGTCTATGTTGGGAGTTAAAGAATCCTTTTCTAGGAATTGCGAACGCCATTCGGTACCGTTCAGGTGCATAAAAAACTCCCGTCAGAAATCCTGATCTGCCTCACCCTGGCGTGCGTTTAGGAGTCCTAACGTAACGCACCATGGACGTGCGGCCCATGTACATCCGTTCTCCCCAGTCTGTCTTCGGGAGCCGACACCGCTTACCTCTCAGACAGGCCCTGTGTCCCCAGTCATTTCAGAACCCCAGTATAGCCGGTCAATGCATGCCGTTGGGGCGGCGCGCCGGCGCCGGTCGGCCCGTGCCGGCGCGCCGAGGCCCGTTGTGGTCGCCGGCGGCCAGCCGGCCTCGCCAGCCGGAACCGCCCGTTATCCCGTGACGCCGTCCGACGGAAGGCCGCGCCGCCGGCCGGGATGTGGCGGGGCTGGGGTGGGCTTGTGGCGGGCCGATTGACCTGATCTGACTCGACGACAGCCAGCCTGACAGGGCTAGCCTGACGCAGCCAGCCTGACACAGCTAGCCTGACCCGCCGCCGGTGGGCCTGACCCAACGGCAGTCAGCCTGATCCACCGCCGGCCAGCCTGACCCAACGACAGTCAGCCTGACACAGCCAGCCTGACACAATGACAGCCAGCCTGACCCAACGATAGCCAGCCTGACCCAACGACAGCCAGCCTGATCCACAGGCGGTCAGCCTGGCCCAATGACAGTCAGCCTGATCCAACGCCGGCCAACCTGACCCAATGACAGTCAGCCTGACCCAATGATAGTCAGCCTGATCCACCGCTGATCAGCCTGGCCCAACGGCAGCCAATAGGAACGCATTCATCAGCAAATGTTTTTTTCAGGTCACACACACACACACATTAGTATCGGGAACAGACAGAACAGACGTGGCAGCTTAGAAGACTCGCAAGCCGCGATGACAGCGCAAAGGGAGCTGCAAGGTTGAATCCGTGGAACTGCAACGGTGCAACTGCTTTTCTCCAATTCGGTTACACTACACTAACACGCAGTTAGAACGCACGCCAACGGAGGCATGCCGCGATGCGCGCCAGCACACGTAAACCTGGCGCTAACAGCGTATCACACTCGTGCCCCCGATCTCAGGCGAGACTGTTTTAATGCCGTCGTGAGTCGCCCCCCGGGACCTGAAACAATGTTTTGGGGATGCAAAATTGACTTCGTGTCTGCTTGGACTAACGCCTGCCACAGCTGTCCACAAGTGGGTGTCACATACATGTGCTTATGTGGCGGGACACACAGGGGGCACAGTTAGAGCTCTTGATTGGTCTTATTTTCAGGAGCCCGTCCACTCCAGTCCACCAACCCCAAGCCCAACCGCCCACCAATCCTTTTTTCTAAATCACTGATCTTACTCGACCCAACCAGTCACCGCAAATATATTATACATCGTTGGTATTACCCATCCATCCAATTTCAATCACACCTCAAAATGGGCAAATTTGGTGCTATTCCTTTGAGAGAAAAACTAAAAATAGATTCCCTTGCTGCACCCTATATGCTGAAAAAGGATAAAAGGTGGAGAAAAAAGGCATTCAGTTCCGAGTGTTCTTACGTCTACAGTTGTACCAGGTTCTCCAGCCAGGAGTCCTGGCACGCATGCAGCCTGGGTAACCAGACCCGGTGCGAATGACCCGTTGCCTCAATGATGTGGAAGTTGCTGAACTCGGTCATGTTTTCGCTGCCCGCCCAAACGGAGCGGTGTGGGAGTTCTCCGGCCGCGAGCGTCACGCTCTCAGTGTGTCATGCACGTTCAGCGGTGCGCTAGCGCTGACGTGCCGAGACTGGCCGCCGCCAGTCGATACCGGCCGGCGTCGGCGTGCATGCAACTTGCGGCTCAAGCTGCATGTGATGGACGCCATCCAGTCCTGTCAGCCCCACATTTTTCATTTGCCCGCGTCACGTGCGTATGTCCCGCCGAGATCCCGGAGGGGAAGTGCCCGAGGCTACTTTCCGTGCCGCCCTGTGCAGCCCTCTAAACCAATGCTGGTGCCTTTCATTCCGGAGGTCATCCATGTTGCTGATCTCGTGATTTTCTGAACCGTGCTAGTCGGCTGTCTAGTACCGTGTCATATATTACAATTTGCTTCAACCATCTATTTCTATTATTGCGCCGATAAAACATTTCGCATAGCTGTTTTCGCTACCGTTGTTTGACGTGGGTGGAATTACAACACTTTCAGCATAGATTTGAACGTTAGCGGGCTGAATACACTTCAAAGAGCCTAAAAATCAATTAAGAACTGTAAAGTATACAACTAGAGCAACCACGTATATAATCCCACTGTAGTGCTCTTACATGTGTCTGACGTAGTTGCCTTCCCCCGAACGTAACGTAAAATTTGTCCGAAAAAACCGTTTCAGGCACTTTATATTCAAAATATTTGTTTTGTTCACGCGGTGGAATATCATACTTTGTCCGAGGCCCATTCACACCAATTCATCACATATTTTACGAAGCCGCAAGAACTAAAGTTTGGTTCCGTCCGAAGGTCATCGGTGTGGTGCTCCATTCCTATACTAGAGTGACCTCCAGCTCTGACGGTTCGCCGCTCCATACGCAGGTGGGCAGTCGCTCAGCATGCGTGGCAGCATGCCACAAACTCCTGCGCGTCCACTGGCGAGTCGGACCGCCGCCCGGTGACGGAAGCAGGAGCGGGAGCGGGAGCGGGAGCGGGAGCGGGGACCGGCCGGACCGCCGCCAGCGCCGGCCACGCCGCGCCTGGACCTGCTGTCTGGCATTCCTCGCCCCCACCGGCGGCGGCGGCGGCTTTCTCCGGCGCTGACCGGCCCCAGGGGCGCCCGGTAGCTGCGTGTGGCCGGGCTGGCGGCCGGCCGCTGACCGGCCTGGACCGGCGGACCTCCCACCCGCACTGGGGTCTAGTCCGTCCTCCCGCAGGCCGCTGCCCGGCCTGGACCGGCGGACCTCCCACCCGCACTGGGGTCTAATCCGTTCTCCTGAGCATCGCCCAACCAAGCGCCGTCTGTCCAAGCACCGCCCGCTCGAGCATAGTCCGAAAGCGTCCAAAACAGCCACAACTGTGCTGATCAGGCAGGCATATCCTGTGAGAGAATCCCGAACACAGTGGGTCGCGGCAGTCCTCCCAGCAGGTATGTAGGACCCACAGCAGATATCGTACTTATTCGATTAGATTTACCTCTTGTCTTCATGTAGACATACAATCGGATAGCCCTGAGTGAAGGCTGATATTCATTTTTGTCGTTGCTGTGAGTCCATTATCATACCACCCCCGCTCAATATAACCAGGCAAAGCAGCTCCTACCGAACTGTTGAACGTATCCCATCATGTAACTCGACCTAAACACGTGCAAAGACATAGGTTCACAGCCTGCTTGTTGGTGACAAATGTGCTTGTTTTGGTTCACAAGGCGGGGAAAAGAAGCATCGTTTGATATCCCAATACATGAGCATTGCGAACGGTTGGAGACCGACGTCCGCGCCCGACGCCACATGATCACATGGCGTGGCAAACAGTCAAAGTCCAATCCAAACATCGTGCATAACACATGAGTGGCGGACGTGTTCCGTGTACAGTTCTGCTGATCCAGTTCCACGCATCAGACCAGCCCCGGATAATGAGGAAAACACAGCACGACTGTGACCCTTATACAGTCCGGCCAGTAGCAGGAAGCGTTTCTCTGCTTTTTTTCCATTTCACGGTCCAAGCCGTGAGAAGGCGCCTGTTTTCCTGGAATCAGTCCGTTTTTGCCTCG